AGCGCGGCTGGGGCCGAGCCCGCATGCCCCGGCCGCTGGCGCACGCCGCTGCGCCAAACGCGCCCTTTGCCCTTGCCGCAACCGCGCCCGCAAAAGGCGGCGCGCTCGCCTTCCCTCCCGACCCGCCACCCCCAGGATTTTCCTTGCCCGAAAGGCGGATATTTTGCGCCCGCAGCAGCAGCCGCCTTGCGCAACTGAGGTTCGCGCAGCCCCGCGGCACAAAGGATGGCGCTGGGCACGGGGACCAGCCCGGCGCCCCTGCCCAAATCGCCCCTGCTAGGCGAAATCAGTAGGCTGCCTCCCCCCGGCTGCCAGGGAACTCGGGCCAAATCCAGGAGGGCCCCAGTCCGCCCTTCGACATGCCTTTTTCCGCTCCCTCCCTCCAAAAAGCCTTCAAACGTGAACGCAACTTCAGCCCAGCGAAAGAGGCACATCACACCCTGCAGGCAAATGATTTTCGTATTGACAGGGTACCAGAAAATTAACAGCTTTTAAAACGCACTTCACCTGTGGCTGGGCTGATCGCTGGGGCTTAGGAGCACTCTGCCTTACAGCTACAGACCAAGCCATGCCCTTGCGCTTCTGCGTCCAGGGAGATTCTCAGGGCTGATTTCTGGACAGCATTTTCTGTATGAAGGAGAAGATGTCCGTGCCTTTAAAAAAGCAAGTGTTTTGATTCGGACATGTATAAAAAAAATCTACACTCTGAATCAAAATATGACTTTTTGTTTTAGAAGTGACTCTTTTTCCCTGGGCAGTTTAGGTCCCATAATTTGGTGATTATACCATAAAAAACCCACCCTTTTATTACCACAAGCCTTCAATCATTATCATTATTTAAACACAAATTTTCACCAAGTTCAAAGCCATGCGTGTGTGTATTCACAGAATTTACACCGTAATTACCTCCAATAAAACTTAGGGGATTCTATAAAACATGATTTATATCCATTGAGAAGGAGAAGGGGAAGTGTTTTCCCACAAGAGTCTCCTTATCTTGTGAAAAAATAGGGACGTGAAGAAACACAACTCCAATTTATTTCCCTCCTCATGGACATCTCGGGATTTAACAGATACAAAGCTAATTCAGGCACAAGGGCTGTAGACATTCCTCTAAAATCATACAGAATCAGATAAAAAAAGGAACCTTCTTTAATGTTACATATAACTGTCCTACAGATGCCTACACAGTGGCATGGCGGGAAACAGACCCAGAAATGAGACTGCAGGGGTTAATAACTTTGTCACCAGACCCAAAAGGGATGCTAATGACAAATGGACAGAGGGAGCAGAAAAAGGGGAAGCTGTGTCTGGGGCAGCCCATAAACACCCTCACCAAAGATCAGAAGAGTCTTAATGCTTGCTTCTCTCAATGTTCATATAAACTCTCCCGCCCACCGAGTGCTGCTGCAGGGTGATTTGGGAGCTACAATCGACCCCTTGAATGAACAACTGAGAAAGTCACTAATAAACATGTCTCTGTCAAAAAACTGTTATGACATTTGCATTGCTAGTACAGTTTCTAAAGTTAAAATAAAGAAACAGGACAGAAAAAAAAGGCAGACATTCTTCAGAAGGATTTTACCTTTTCAGAAGGTATTGTGAGTAGACCTCTGGGCTATTCTTTATTAAACTAACGGTATCAGAGATGGAATAAAATCTACCATACATATAATCCATTCCCTTATTTATACGGATGTGTTTCCCTTAATATTATCACCGATTTTCCACATTTAATATTTTAAAGCTAAATCCATTTCTTTTCTTCTTGTAGATTATTTGTGTTAATAATGGTGGATGATATAAGGTAAGTTTTCGAGACTAGCGTAAGGACAGTATTAGCAAACTCCCAAACTTAAAAAAAATCATGAACCAGGTCCCTGTCCCCCCCAAGATCATCATAGTGCCTTAAGCCTATTTATAACTTTGATAACAAAGAGTTTGGGGTTGTTGTTATTATTGTTGTTATTATGTTGTTATTTTCCTTTGATCACAAATATGGCCTTTGATCTCCCAATGATATATTTAATTTTTTCACTGCAACTCTTGAGAGTTACAGAGATGCTTTTAAAAAAGAAAGCCAATATTCTTCTACAGTCCCCCTATTTCAGGAATTTGAACTTTAAGTACCAAACACGACTCCTCAGAAACCAAGTGTTAATAAGATTCTACTCTAAAATAAAGGAACCATCAATTATTTTAGATGGTCGGGCATCATATTTTTACTTTTCTTTTTTTATTTTTGGGGACACATGCAGCCATCGTATCAAGCAACGCTGTGAATACTTTCATTAACGAGAGTTAAAGAGTTACTTTTTCCACATGAGAACCTTATCAATTTGACTTACAAGGACCATGTTTTCAGAGATTTGTAAGCATCTAAATCACTAATTTCAAAGACAAATGGGTACCTAAATACTTTTGAGACTATGGCCCTAAGTACTTAAAAGTACTTAAAAGTACTTAGCCTCAAGGTGGACAGCAGAAGATGATCTCAAAACGCAAAAGCCACATTTCATTTCTCGCAAAAGCCACATTTCATTTCTCGCTAATGCTGCATAATTGCTTCACATTAACAAGACATACCCGTACTAAAAAAAGCACATGCATTTCGGACTACACCCCATCACAGGACTTGCCCTACTTATTCCTTAAATATAGGTTGAGTCAATTTTTCCATTATAACCTCCTACAGCACATTTTTTGGTTTATAAAATAGCGATACAACTTTGCTTTGAGCTTTGGTTGTACGGACTGCAGTTGCGATATGTAGTTGCTTTTGTGCCAAATTTTCACATGCAATACATAGAGAATTTTTTCAAAACTTTCCATTTAAGTAAAAAAGTGTCTCTAAAAAAAACGGTGGATGGTGAAAATTATGTGAGTTTCTGGTGGTTTTTAAATTCTTTATTAAAAATAGTCCTTTTGTTGCTAATGCTTTAAAATTTGTTGTCAGTAATATTACAAAGCATTGTTTCATGTGTTTTATTACAGAATAAAACTACCTGCGAAAATAGCTATTGTTCTTTCTCTTCAGTCTACGTATATTTATCTTACTGTCAGCATTTCACACAGATTGTTCACACATGCAATTAATAAGCATTCTGCAGCCATTAAAAGGAAAACCAACAAAAGTCCCGTTTATGGGGACTAAATTTCGCACTGTAAATGATGTCTACATTAAACCAGGATAAATAGTGTATTTTTTCAGATAAACCACATTATTTCTTATTAGGTGTGTATATATATTCTTACTTAGGATTCTCAAACCTTTTAAAAATGTTTCCAGGATTTAAAGAAAAAAACTCCAAAATTAATATATTTTGAAGTCTAGATGCCCAAGAGTTTGTATGGCTATTACTGGCACCTGTGAAGGTTAAGGGCATAAATCCCAATACTTGCTATGCTTTATCATAGCTAATTTTCTCTTTATTTTCTTCCTGTGCTACCTTTTGTCCACACTGGTCACTGCAGTTCCTCTTCCATCCATCCCTCTGCTCCCATTCTCTCTGCTGCTTCACATTCCACCTCTTACTCTCATCCTTCCATTTTTGTTCACCATTCTTCTCTGCTCTCCATTTTTCCGCTCACTTTCCTGTGTACATAAAGTTGATCATTTGGTTTCTGTTCAACACATTTACCAGACTGAATTCAACCCTGCCGCACAGGGCTCCTCAGTTCAGTCCCCAGCGCAATGTAATCAATGTAATGCAGCATGAGGGTGCAATGCGACATGGACTAACAAGTCTTCTCTGTCGAGGCCAGAGCGGGCACAGCACGTCACATCTGTCTGCCCATATCCACGCTCCCGCCTGCTACATGCAGAAACCCATTACGCTGCATGGAAGATTTCAAATAAAGTACAATACATTCAACATGAGGAAGTATCTGTAGACAGATAAAGTACAAAATTGTTTGTAGCAAAATGACAATTGATTTTTTTTTTTCTGTGGGGAACTTTGCAGGGAAAATTGCAAGCCCACCAGGAAAGCCTAACTGGTGGGATAATGAGGTTAACGAGCAAGAAATTTCTGGTCCCCGGTGGGAGTATGTAACAGCAGCGAAGACTGACAAATCTTTACGCTTAAGGAGAGAGGTTGTGTGGTCAGATGTAATGCTTCCCCTCCAGGCTGCCAGAAGCCCTTCTGGGAAATGAGTGGTTACTGAAATAAATTCTCTCTCATCAACTAAAGCCTGGCTGTACGCAAAGCTGCACGCTCCGGTTGAGCCATTTTGCCCTATAGCTCTCCCCCTCTTCCTCATATCGTTTCTGCCAGTGAGTCAGTCCGGGCCTGCTGCGCTGACCCACCTGCTGAGTCAGCGAGAATGCCTTCCTACCCACGCCGTAACACAGAGGAGAGGAAGTGAGAGAGAGGCAGTTTCGCAGGACCTTTCTATGCTGCTTCTCTGATTTAATCTGACTGCTCACTTCTTCCCAAATAGCCAAAATAAGGGGCTGTTTTTTGTTTTTTTTCCTGGAAGTATCTCAGTTGCAGATCTAAACTGGGTGTGCAGCTTGATAACTGATTCTGTGACTCTCTATCAGTTTCAGGAGTCTTCATTTGAAATGGGCAGGCTCATGCAACTGTCCCTACTAAAACAGATTAATCTGGTGCCTAGAGTGCCACAGCATGGCTGGCCTGGGCACCGGCGCAAGGAACGGCAGGAGGATCCCTGTTTTGCCCGCTGCAGCGCTTACCCCACCATCTCCCGTCTTCACCGCCCCCAGCCCTAGTCCTCCCGCTCACAGATGATGCTGCAGTTGCCCACATGCTCGACAGAGCTGACACCACACGGACAGACACAATCGCAATAAATTAGCTGGGTGCATGACAGTACGGCCTGAACTGTGTTGCATGGTCCCCATTAGTGCCGACATTGTACTGCACGCTACGGCGACAGATAAGGATACTTGCTCAGGTTCTCATCTGTGTCAGCGTAGTACAAGAGTAAACCACAAATTGTATTCTCAGTGTCATCTCTGCATAGAAAATAAGTCTCCGGGAGATCTGATTAGGCACAACATGAAAAGTACTTTCTTTTGTGAGCCACAACAGCTTGATAAAAGACCCTGAAGCTGATTTCTCAAGGTTCACATAACTTTTGTTGGTTTGAGAGCCACGAGACCCTTCCAATGCACCAGCATTTCTCCTCAGATAAACAGTATCTGTTTTTTATATTGGTTTCTACATATAAAAAATTCCCATTAATTGGAATGATGCTGTTCAGCCTCAGAAGTTTTATTAGTACTGAAGAATCACAGAAATACTGGACAGAGCCCTGTAAAGCCTCTAATTTCCTCCTTACTGATACAGGAAGATTTCCTTTGTTACATTTTCTACTAATTGTGATTCAGACTTTCTGGCTGTTAGCCAGACACAATACTTAGTGGTTTTGATTTGCATATACAGGCCTACAAATTAGACAGATAATCTCAATCAAAATTTAAAGTAGCAGAATAGATGCAAAACCAATGGAAAGATCTACTTGCTTTCCATACTGTGAGATTTTTCTCAGTCCCGCAAATTAACACAGAGAAGTACAAATAGGCTACAAGAAGAACATGCTTTTCATTTTCTTTTCCGACAGCATGTGTAATATAGTACATTATCTCAAAGAGCATTTAAAGGAGGCAGAGGCATAGTTCTAGCCAGCTATGTGTGGGAACAAGAACAAAAAGTGTTTTCATCAGTCAAAATGTGAAAATACTTTCATGTTTATCACTCAACAGTGAACTGGGAAGAATTCAGAGAGCTGAAGAATTACAAACTCACGGCCTTCTCTGTGTGATAATCTCAGAAATTATTCCCTGCCATAGACTGTTCTGGGCTTCATGCAGTATACTAGGCAGTAACGCCCCTTTCCTCCTAGAGCAAAGAAAATGAGACTGCCCCAAAACATCGGTCTGTTATTGCTTGATGGTGCAGATGTAAAATAGTTGAGGTTTCAGAAAGCAGTCATAAGCAGTCCGTTCAGGACAGTTTGTAAGATCTCAAAGAATGTAATTTTTGCAAATTTAGCTTCAACTTCATCACGCTGCAAAGCGTTGGTGTGAGGTGCTGCTATCATGAACATACCTGCAATAGTGTTCCTCCACATGACCGCTCCTCAAGGCCAGTATTTAGGCTCTATTTAAGGAAAGAAAAATTGAATTGCACTTAACAAATGTATTTCCTGCATAAAACTATTCAAATGTGTTTTCTCACATGGTATTAACTAATAAACAGCAAAACACCAGAAATCACATTGTGTGTGGAGAACCAATGAGAAGATGACCATTTATGGATGAGGTAAAGGACTGAATAAAAGAGGAAGACACCCCAGTCAAGCTGAGTCCAAAATGGTATGAAATTTCACCTGCACAAAGGCTCTCAGACTATCAGAACACATACTGCGACTTTGTTTGCCTGCCCAGCTTGGCAGCACCTTTCAATAGCGGAGCATGAGCGCTCCAAACAAGATCCAAACATCAGAAACCATGAGCTGTAGATGGTAACTTCTCCTTGCTTTCATGAATAAACTGTGTTTCTGTTATACTGAGAGCACAGTCTGTTCACACTAGTCTTGCTTGCAACAGTACCTAGACATTACTTAGTCCCCAACCAGCTATTATGTCTGAAGTCAAGGTGCTGCAGAAACCACTTGTATGCTGCTTCATGCATGATGAGCACAGGCAGGCAACCTGCAAGCGGTGCAGAGGCAAAGTTTGCATTGACACAGGTCCAAAATCCCATTTCCCAAAACAAAGGGTTACAGATGCTGGGAAGGTTTCTTAGAAACAATACTTACATCCATACAAGCCAACCAAACAGGGCCACGGCACAGACCTGAGCACTGTCCTGTGATTGTCTATATTGTTAAATTGTTCACATAGTCTCTGCGCAGTTTTGGCTCAAGCCAGCTACCTCTCTCCAAGGCACTGCTAAGGCATGGTTCAGGAATTAACACTGGTCAGGGACCATTCCCAGTAGGAAGCTTGGACATGGCTTCTCTGCCTCAGGTGTAAGAGAGTTTCACTACATGGATACTGCACCAACTGGCCTCAGGGCCACAGAGTCACCTCAGGCCGACATCCCGGACCTGTGCTGAGAGACTGCGAACATTAAATCCTTGGCTTCTCTGTGCGTTTGGGCTTTGTGCAAACAAAATTAAAGTTTCTCCTTAGTCTTCTCAAGACTTGTCAATAGACCACTTCCATAGGAAAGACAAACAAAATACGCTACACTACTCCCTTTTGATTTCAGAGGAGTGCTGTCCACATTGTACTGAGCTGTACAATGCTGAATGTAAAAAGGGTCGTAACTATTATCAAATCATTCTGCCACATGAACAGCAGTGGATATATCTAGTTAAAATCTGCAGATTGCACATTACCATAGCAACGACGGAACTCCAAAATAAGTATGTATTTATAACGTAGCAAGCATAAATTTAATGCAATCCATTTTTCAACTCAGTCTGAGATTCTAAAGCCAGGAGAATAGCTTTAAATCTCTCACATAGTAAGTGCCAGAACAGGTAAGAGAAGAATTATGCTTATATAATTCCATGTTAGGAAGAACTTTTGTTCTGAAATAACTCAAAATAACTACATGACTGTTCTTAAGGTGATGATCTAAATCTTCATCAGGTAAGAGTTTTAGAAGCAACAAATGCCTAGAGATAACCCTAGAATACAAAGGTACTCCCCAACCTGGATCCAACCAGCTCCAAACAGATGTTTAGCTAGCGTGAATCAGTGTAGCTTCACTGAAATTCTTAATTTTTTCTGTTAAGCTTTTGATTATGTCTTATTGTAAAAACTAACTGGACTTCAGAGTCTTAAATGAAAAACGAAAAGCTAATGTCATATAGGTACACCTAAGGCTAGTAGATACTGCATAGGATAAAAAGGGAGTTAAATCAAGGAAGGGCAAGGCTCAAGGAGATTGTCCAAGTCTTGAAGGTAGAAAACAGGAACAAAAAGAAAAATTAATTCATTGTGTTCTGTCACTGGCGGAGGGTCTACAGCTCTGACGTCCCTAGGAAGGGCATAAAATGACATTCGAAAGGCACGAGGCATAGTTAACAAGAATCACCAGAGGTATGCTGGCCATGCAATCAGAATATTTTCTACTGAATTCT